CTAGGCACAAGACCCAGAACGAAACAGACAAAAAATATTTCTTCAAAATACCTGTAATCCATGAAGAATGTATTTTTATTACAGAAAAGCAGAGATTGTGGGAAGTCTTTTATTTTCAGGTTCATAATGACCCATCATTAAAATATCTCACTACAATTTTAGGGGAGAAACAACATGTTTACTACAGGAGTAATGGCTGTCCAGGGACATTGCCATTTTATCAGCCTTCCCCTGGAGCAGACCTTGCGTACTTTGATATCTCTGTCAGTGCTATCAGTCTTTGTATACTGCTAGAGATCAAACTTGATTTTTCCCAGACAGTTTGTCTCTGCTTGAAAAAAGTCAGCGTCGGATTATTTCAGGTTTGAATTCTGTCCTGGAGCATTAGGAGGAGTTCCCACAGTTTCCACCCAGTCTTGCATAGTTTTTAGGCACTTGCACAATTCAAATATGAGATGTGACTGGACACTTAAAAATGCAAGTTAATGATCTTGCAATATAACCCACACGAAAGAGGCAGCCTACAAGCTCAGAAACTCCAGAAAACCTGGAAAGATTAAGTCACATCTGGGTAAGTATTTTCAGCTCCCATTACAATCCAGGTATTCTTTGTGTCTTCTAGAATTCAGGTCCATATGAATAAACACATTAGAAGACAAAATTAGTAATGTAAGTAGGAAAAAAAAATAAATCTCTGCATTTCTGGAAGGGGAAAACTGTCAGATCATAAACATTAGGGTTGATTTTTAAGCAAACCCTTTTAATGTTAATTATCAATTGATTAACAACTATCAGAATTCTTCAGGGATGGAAATAGTCTATGTCCATGAAACGGTTGATTTTACTCTATTTTTATGCATTATTTATTACCTTATTATCCTATACTGGCCCTTTTTATTGCTTAATTTGGGGAAATTACTATGACTTCTTCCAAACTTTTCTTAATGTTGGGAAAGAGATTTTTAGATAACCCAGCGATGTTCAAACAACATATCCCAGAGTTCAACCTGAATAAGCACATGCAAAACACATTTCATCATGGAAAAATATAAATTAACATCCTTAATACCTTGATAACTATTCGTTCTATCATTATGTGAGAATATCAATCATGTAGAATTAATCAATAGAATTAGGACAGACAAGATTCAGTTCACAGAACTATGATGGCATAGAAAAAAAATTTGAAGGTCAAGGTCTGCATTCAGTTACATGAGAATATATCTGGTCAGATATGTCGACCTCTGTTGAGGTATAAACTCATTTGCTCTAATGGAACACAGTAGAAAATATCCTTTGATGTCTGAAATTGTACAGGTTCTCTTTTTTTCTGGAAATTTCACCATAGCAAAGCCACTAGGCAGTAACTGCACAGAGATAAAATGAAGAATTACTTAATTCTTTCCTGTACAGTAATAATGTTAAAGTTAACATCTTTTCAAGGGAAATAAAAAAGATTAAAAAAGGAAGAAAAACAGGAATGAAAATGTGTGAACTTGAAATAACTGCCTTATGCTATCAAGCTTCAAATGTTTTATATTCCCTAGGTTTCTATTTCCTAAATTTGAAGAGGCTTTCTGTTGGTTTTATTAGTCAAGATAATTTACTGCTCCCAATCAGTATCCAAGCCTGCAAAGATCCATTTTAAGAAACCTGTTTATTATTTGTAAACAGTTATTAAATAATTCCTCAAAGTTTCTCATGCATTATAAAGGCAGTTAATGAAATGATGCATTATTTTTTTTTTTCCTGCTAAAACTTTTTGTCTCCTCAGATAGAATTTTAGAGTGTTCTTATAACCCAGCTTGAAGTGAAAGTGAATTGTACGAAATGACTGATTGTCAAGGACATTTGAACAAATGAGGTATTAACTTTATCAGAATCCATTGAAGGATTTCTTGATGTTTTTATTTAATTTGCTTCATATCAAGGAGCTAAGTTCCCTTTTGAGACACATCACGAAAAAAATAAAAGATTAATAAAATCCCGGGAAGTTCCTACATTCTTGCAGAGTTTGACAGAAAGCCTTAATGTTATTCCATTTCTTCCTCATAGATAAATAGAGACCAATGCTGTCATAGGAGTGTTTTTCGTCACAAGCTGTCCAGTCCCCTGGGTACAGGTACTGTTTATACATCAAAATCCGAGAATGATGATAAATATATCAAGTAGAATATTTCTGAGTTAATGATACATATGTCCAGAGAATACAGACTATATAAATTATTTTATTTATATAGTGCCATTTGTAAAAGCTGTTTAAAACCACAAGCTCTTCCTGTGGTTTCTGACAAATGTGCTGACTGAGTAGGATAATGTCAGTTGTGATGCCAACCATTAGAACTCAGAAAGCTATATGATTTTTAAACTTAAGTGAATATTTGAAAAGTTGAAAGTGATTCAATTCATTTTATAATCAAAAAGCTTAAAAAGTCATATTCAAAACCATATAACAGAACTCAGCAACATAGGGTCAAGTAAATTTTCAGGTACTTGGATATTTGTTTTAATGCCTTAATTTCTCACTTCCTTAGAGTCAATCCTCAGCTGTTTCTTTCTCCACAAATTACTCTAATTTTCTTTAATAAGCACCTCTTTTCAGCAGCTATATTATCCCATATTTTGGAGTATAATATATATATATATATTTAAAATTATGTCATCACCCTTTAATATTTGTCAATGGAAAAGGTAATATAACCTAAAGTAATTTCTATCAAAAAGTACAGTACCATTAATGGAATATTTAATTGCGATCCCAGATAGTTTTTAAAAGGCCCATATTACTGCATTCTGTGGAGGAGGTAGAACAAGGCAGATGTCCTAAATAATAAATATGATTTAACAACCAGAATTTTCTTGAATACTTTTTCAAGGTAGGTTTATGGAGACTGCAAGGTTAGGTAGAAAGTCTGGGTCTTTTCACTGAGAAACTTGCTCAGTCATACAGGAAAGCAAGCAATTTACTAAGAAATACTAAAGAACTCCATTACAATTAAGGGGCTTTTCAGAAATCCCAACAGATAAAAATTAAGGCATGAAAGCCTGGTAGAAATTCGTGTGTGTGAAAAAATAAATCGGGAAATTGTTGAGGAGCAGTTAATCTATGTGCAAATGCCTCCCCAATACTCCAGCACAGTTCAGAACGTTGGATTATCACAGTTGTATGACAGCCAGCCGTGAAACACAAATTTGCTTGAGGCTGGTATATACTACCCACTTGACATTTAAGAAAATCTGTGCAGTTTTCCTTCACAGATTTTGTTTCTTAGCTCAGCGATGTAGACTGCTGCATTTATCCTTATTTACTCTCTCCATTTCTTATACTGTATTTTGTACTGTTTTATGTACTGTTAGTACGATATGGATAATTAACCTGTGAATTTCTGCACAAAACTGGAACCCAATAAAAGCATGAAGAAATTTCATAAAGAAACAATAGAGCAAGATATGAATAATAAATATGACAATAAAATTCTATCTTTTTTTTTGTCAGAGTTCAAACTGATTAAAAAGAGAGTCAATGTTTGTTTTTTTTTAATTTTCAAAGGTTGATATTGAAAAGATCGGGTCTGCTATGTTAATTCAGTAAAACTAAACAGCTGAAACTCAATAATTAGCATAGGTACTAAACCAGCAAAAAAAAATAGGAAATGATACAGTAAAACATGCAGCTTTTTGCTGCAGAGGCAGCATGCTGTGCAGACAGAAATTTCAACTTGTTACAATGAATAAACATTAACTTAATTCTATTATAATCTGTGAACACATTTTTTACTTAATATGTTAAACTAAGTCATCTGTGTTTAAGTCCAGCTTTTGTAATGCTTCTACAGCACAGGACTAGTCTTAGTTCTAGAAAAAGCTATAAGCAAGACAAAAGCCTGA